CTCTCTTAAAGATTAAATTCTCAGTAAATTTATAAGAAATCAGTAAGTGTGTGAGATCAGACAAATTCATCTTAACAGAAAAATGTAGAAAATCTGAATAAATGAGAGGAAACGAGCATCGCGCCTCCAACAACCGACCCTGTTTTGACTCATTTGGATCCAAACTGATCCAAATGAATCTGCTCAGGTCTCATGTTTGAAGTTACAACCTGTGAAAAGTTACTGAACACTGATTTGCCAAAGGTCAGAGTGCAACTTCATCCTGAGCAGGTTACAAAATCAGGATTTAAAACCAAACAAACCTACTTTCTAACACTAAAAACTTCATCAGGTGAGTCAGCCAAGCTCAGACTCACTTCATGGTACCAACCAACAGCAACAACACAAACTAGTCCTAAACACACACTTAGCTCTTCATGAAGAAGAGGAGACGCTGATGAGCCTCGTCTCAGCTCGTCTGATTGTTCAAACTTCATCAAAGTTTCACCACAAATCAGAGAAACTGAGTTCAGACTTCCTGACCTGATGTTCATGTTTTAGCTGCAGGGCCCCAAGGTGCCGCCCCACCCTCCAGGAGGTCTAGGAGGTGACGATGATGACGAAGATACGTACGAGGAGGCAGAACCTTACGTCCCTGCCGACGCCACCGCGTCCAACACTGGTATCTGCAAACACACACGATGACGAAGCAGGAACACGACGTAGAAACACAAACAAACGTGATCCTCTTCCTTTCTCCAGAGAAGGCGGAGTCAGACAGCAGCCACTACGAGTCCTACGATGAGGAAGACGATGACGATGGAGGGGAGGAGCTTGTGAAGGACAGAGCTCACTACATCCGGTGGAGCGCCTCACAGCCCTGCCTAAAGCCCACGCCAGAGTCCCGCCTCTGCGGGTACCTGTGGAGGAGGAAGTGGCTCGGGCAGTGGAGCAAAGAGCTGTTCATCATCAGGAACGACGTGCTGCTGGTGAGGAACGAAACAAACGCACGAGCCCACACGGCTGCAGTCCCTCTGATGGCCACTATGTGTCGCTCTATCTTTGAAGCGCCTCAGCTCTTTGTGAGGTCAGGTGTGTTTGACCTGTTTGTACCTGTGTGTCTTCTTCTGTGTTTGCGTCAGTGTTATAAGTGCGCCCGGGACCTGCTGCCTCAGCTGGAGTTGAACCTGCGCGGCTGTCAGCTCGTCTACAAGTCAAAGAGCAGCAGGAAGATCCAACACCAGCTCAAACTGGTGCTGCTGGGCTCGGAGACGCTGGTGCTGGGCTACAGCACCTTCCAGCAGGCCGACGAGTGGAAGAAGGTCAGCA